GCAAGGACTTCAGTATGATGTTGAAAAGGAGTGGTAAGTGGGTACACCCTTGCTTTGTACCTATCTTAGTGGGAAAACTTCCAGTTTCCCACCATTGATTATGATGTTAGCTGTAGGTTTTTTATAGATATTCTTTATCAAGTTTAGAAGGTTCCCCTCTGTTCCTAATTTTCTGAGAGTTTTTATCCTGAATGAGTGTTGGATTTTGTCAAATAATATATTGATATAATCATGTAATTTTTCTTTCTTAGCCTGTTGATGTGATGGATTACATTAATTGATTTTTATTTTTATTATTTTTTATTTTTTTAAAGATTTTATTTATTTATTTGACAGAGACAGAGATAGCGAGAGCAGGAACACAAGCAGCAGGAGTGGGAGAGGGAGAGCAGGCTTCCCGCCAAGCAGGGAGCCCGATGCGGGACTCGATCCGGGACTCGATCCGGGACTCCAGGATCATGACCCGAGCCGAAGGCAGTCGCTTAACCAACTGAGCCACCCAGGCGCCCTACATTAATTGATTTTTAACATCTGAACCAGCCTTGCATACCTGGGATAAATCTCATTTTGTCATGTTATATAATTCTTTTTATATACTTTAAAAAATTTGATTTGCTAATGTTTTGTTGAGGATTTTTGAATCTATGTTCATGGGAGGTACTAGTCTGTAGTTTTCTTTTCTTGTAATGTCTCTGTACGGTTTTGGAATTAGAGTATCATTGGCCTCATAGAATGAGTTAAGAAGTATTCTCTTTGTTTCCATCCTCTGAAAGAGACTATAGATAAGTGGTATAATTTCTTCCTTAACTGTCTTACGATTCACCAGTAAGACTATCTGGGTGCAGTGCTTTCACTTTTGGAAGGTTATTAATTATTGATTCCATTTCTTTAATAGATATAGGCCTATTCAGATTGTTTATTTCTTCCACTATGAGTTTTCACAGATTGTAATTCAAGGAATTGGTCCATTTCATCTGGTTATCAAATTTGTGAGCACTGAGTTGTTCACAGTATTCCTTTATTATCCTTTTAATTTCCATGGTTTCTAGAGTGATGTCTTCTCTTTCATTTCTGATATTAGTAACCTGTATTATCTCTTTTTTTGGTAGTTAGTCTGGCTAGAGGCTTATCGATTTTATTGATATTTACAAAGATCCAGCATTTGGTTTCATTGATTTTCTCTATTAATTGCCTGTTTCCAATTTTATTGATTGTTGCTCTAATTCTTTTTTTTTAACTGAACACTCCACAGTCTCTCCTTTCTTCAGCAAGAGACAGAAGTTAAACTGAGATTCATAAATGATTAAACACAACAGTAAAATCTGCAGTGCCTTTTTCATAAGCCTAGCAGATGCTTTGCTGAAATATTCTTGTTTCTACGGCCTGCTGAGATAAAAGATTCTAGATCCTGTAATCTATGCAATGAGGAAAATAGCCATAGCAACTCAAAAAGTTGTTGTTTAACATAGAATACATATAAAGCACAAGACATAGTGCCAGATATATATAGGAACTCAAATAGTTGTCATTAACTTCAAATTGACATTTTGGTAGAGGAATACTTCAGACCAGGCTCCTACTGAGTTCAGAGACAAGAAATCAGTTACATAAACAAAATCATTCTGTTCTTCAATTTTCTTGTGCTTTTTGGCATAATAAAGGGGTTTTAAATTTTTCATTATTGTAATATTTTCACTACCTTGTCTATCTATACTTAATCTCGTATTGTACTTATGATAGTTTCAAGAAATGCCTAATAAGAACATGAGATTTTAATCATAAAACTTCTAGTTGTGTGTGTATTTTATATGATTGTCATTTACTCTTGGATCTGCAGAGCTTTTATTTCTTTTCTTTTCTTTTGCTTACATTGAATTTAATTTGCTCTTTTTCTAGTTTCCTAAAGTGGAAATTTAGATTAATGATTTTAGATCTTTCTTCTTTTTAATATATGCAGTCAATGCTATAAATTTCCCTCTAAGAACTGCTCTCACTGCATCACACAAATTTTGATAAATTGTGCCTTCATTCTAGGGGTGCCTAGGTGGCACAGTCAGTTGAGTGTCCAACTCTTGGTTTTGACTCAGGTCATGATCTCAGGGTTGTGGGATTGATCCCCACCTCGGGCTCTGTGGGGAGTCTGCTTGAGAGTCTCTCCTCTTCTCCCTCTGCCCCTCCCCCACACTCTCTCTTGAATAAGTGAATAAATCTTAAAAAAAATTGTGTCTTCACTTTAATTTAGTTCAAAATATTTTAAATTTTTTCTTTAGATTTCTTTGACCTAGGTGGTATTTAGATGTGTTTGATTAATCTCCACATATTTGGGGATTTTCCAGTTGTTCTCTTGTTATTGATTTCTAGTTTAATTCCATTGTGCTCAGAGAGCAGACACTGTATAATTTCTATTCTTTTCAGTTTGTTAGGATATATGTTATGGCCCATGGAATGACTTTTCAAAGGTGCAGCTGAAACTAGAGCTTGGAGAGGACACTCTAAATCACTGACCATCATATGGTGCTGTGTTACCAAAAGGTAGATTTGATGAGTTTAGGAACCAGTGGGGGATAATAGGAATGGCTCTGTTAATAATTACCTCCTGGGACCCACATAAGAAATTTGTGCTGCCCATCCCTGAAATTTCTTTACTCTCGTTCTAGGGGTCTTGGTTCCTATATAAGGAATGCTTTCACCAAGGTAACAGTAACACTGCTACTAAACTTAAAACTTATGACTGCTGCACAGTTTATTTGAGTCTTTCATTGTAAGAGAGCAACAGGTACAACAAGGACTCAGCATCATAATAGGGGTAATTGACCCTGATAATCAGTATGAGATAGGGCTACTGTTGAATAATGGGGGCAGAGAAGAATATGCTTGGCACCTAGGTAATCCAATTATGTGTCTTTTGCTGCTACTTTATCCAATTATGATAGTAAATAGACAAGTAGAACAGCCAGGATGACCCTTCAGAATAGTATTTAGTTAAGACAAGGGAATTGGACATTTTTATTCCCACGTTAACTACTCATTGCATATTCTCTGCCCTTAGGAAGGGAACATAACTGTGAACAAAGTGATTCCCTTTAGCCAAGGGCTAGTCCCAGAGAGGGTCTCACACTGAGCCTACAGCAGCAGCTAGCCATCCTGGAACCTACAAAAATGAGTGCCTTGGTCTTAGTCTGAGTCTGGTTCCCAGGGGAATCTGACCTAAAACAACATCAAGTAAGAAAAATTATGTGTGTATAAAATACATGCATATATACACACATATAAGAAGTGTATAATATATACATGTGTGATGGTTAATTTTATGTATCAACTTGTGGACCACATGGTACCTAGATATTTGGTCAAACTTTCTGAGTATTTCTGTGAGGATCTTTTTCAATGAGGTTAACATTTAAATTGGGAGACTGAGTAAAGCATGTTGTCCTCCCTAATGTGACTGGTCCTCATCCAGTCAATTGAAGACCTGAACAGAACAAAAAGGCTAAGTAAGAAGGAACTTCTGCTGCCTGAGTGGTTTGAGCTGGGACATTGGCTTTTTCCTGCCTTTGAAACTGAACTGAAAAATTGTGTCTTCCTAGGTCTCAAGCCTGCTGAGCTTTGGACAAGAATTATGCTACTGGCTCTCCTGGTTCTCATTCCTTTGGTCTCAGACTATAACTATACCACCAGCTCTCCTAGGTCTCCAGCTTGCCAACTGCATATCTTAGGGCTTCTCAACCTCCATAACCATGTGATCCAATACCTTATAATAAAATATTATACACAGAGACAAAACATAAACATGCACACATATCCTATTGGTTCTGTTTCTCTGAACCATGAGTAATATATATTTTAATATATATATTATGTATCTATATATTTTAATATATATTACATATTTTAATATATATGTATATATGCAGGTGTGTGTGTATATACATATGATCAATTGCTATTTGACTACTTGTGATGAATAAATATCTAAATTATAGAGAAGTTATAAATAAAATAAATATCAATATAAAATACATATAAAAACCCAATGAGGTAGTAAAATATAATTCTTTTTCCACTGGAATATTGGTCTCATTAATTTCAAAACTGAATTGTAACTCTCATAATAGCAGCTACTATTATTTAGCTGTTACCACTTCCCAAGCTTTGCAGTAAATTTTTATTAAATCTTGCTTTTATGGAAATATAATATTGTTTCATTTGTAATTAACTATCCCATCATATATTTCCAGAAGATAAGGATTCTGCCATTAAGAATTACCACTATACCACTATCACCCATAAAAAAAGTAATAATTCCTTATCATCATGAAATACCACTTGGTGTTCAAGTTGGTATTTGTTGTATTAGCTGTCTTCTATTTTTTAGTGTATTAGTTTGAATCAGGATCAACAAGTTCCATATATTCAGATGATTTGCAAATATCTTAAATCTCTTATAATCTATAATTTGCCTTTCTATTCTTTCCCTCTTTTTTTAATGGAAAACTGGATTGGTTTCTGTGGTAGGCTGAAAAATACCTCCTCTCAAAGGTATGCACATCCCAATCTGTGGAAACCTAGAATGTAAACTTAACTGGCAAAGGGGGGGGGGTGCAGATATTGTTAAATTAAGGATCTTGTAAAAGGGAGATTATCCTAGATTATCTGGGCAATCCCTAAATGCAATCACAAAGGTCCTTACAAGTGAGAGGCAGAGAGAGGTTTTACATACACAAAAAAAGAATCCAACATGACTAGGGACACAGAGATTGAAGTGATGTGGCCACAAACCAAGGAATGCTGGCAGCCACCAGAAGCTGGAAGAGACAAGGAACAGATTCTTTTCCAGAACCTTTGGGAAGAATATGGCCCTGCTGACACCCTGATTTCAGCCCAGTGATACTTATTTAAAACCTCTGGCCTCCAGAACTGTGAGAGAATAAATTTCTGCTTTTTTTTTTTTTTTTTGATAGTAAGATGGATTTTATCTATAAAACAATGCAAACTCCCCGTGGAATTAGGAAACATTTTCAATTGTTATTCATAAAATTATTAATCAAAACAGCAAAAGTGGATTTACAAAGCTACATTATCAATAGCAAAACAGGAAGGAGATGAAATGTTTGGCAGATGTCTTGAAAAGTTTCAAAGAAACACACACCAGGCTAAAGGTCTACAGTTAAACTGTGCTTGCACAACAGGTTACATTCACTCCTGCATTTTCTCAATAAGTTCTTCCTTATATTTGCCTTTCTCTTTTCCAACCTGTCGAGATTTGGCTTTGCGTTTGAGAATTTTTTCCCGATCTTTGTCCAGCTTTAGCCTGGTAATAACCACCTTGCTCGGGTGAATGCCCACATGCACAGTTGTCTCATTAGCCTTCTCACACTGCACCCGCTCGATGTAGATGACATATTTCTTTCTGTACACCTGGACCACCTTGCCAATTTGCTGACCTTTGTAGTGTCCTCGAACCACCTGGACCTCGTCGTCCTTGCGGATGGGCATGGAGCGGACGCTGTACTTCCGACGCAGCTCCTCGGAGAGTGGGGAAGACATAATCTTCCTGTGCATGTGCAAGGGCGCATTGAAGTGGCTTTTGCGGTTTTTGCTGTGGTCTGAGGTAACGAAGGGGTTGAACTTCATGCTGACCGTCTTGCGCCTGTTATGTCAAATTTCTGCTTTTTTAAAGCTACAATTATCCAGATATTTGTTACAGCAGCCATAGGAAACTAACACATTTTTCCCTGAATAACTTTCTACTGTCTGGGTTTTGCTGATTTCATTCATTTGATTTTCATTCATATGTTCTTCTGTCTTCTGTATTTCCTGTTCATTGCTATTTCTTTCACAAGATGATTTTATAGGAGGTTTGTGTACCTCTATCTGGGGGTATATTCTCTCAGGTTGTTTCTCATTTGTAATTTTTTAGCACCTACTATTAAATGTTGCCTAGATCCATTTATTCATTAAGGGTTACCAAATATTTAAAATCTCTGTGATAGGTACTATATTTATATATATACACATATGTATATATAATCTTCAATCTTAGCAACAACCTTGCATTTTTGGTATTATATGATCAGAAAACTAATAAATTTTGAAAGTGGAGGATTAAAATACAAAGTCTGGAGTATGTCTATAATGCTTCAGTTTTATCAGGAAGCTTGAGTGAAACAGGTGAGAATTAGACATGTTTAGATGACAGCAACCCCACCACTGTCCTCAGTATCTATATTATCCACTGATTTAGATGGGAACTAGGAGTCTCTGTGGGAAAAACATTTCTCATGTAGATGTTATACATAAAATATGCACATTAGAGATCCTTAGACTTTAATATATTTTTTTAAGGCTGTCTTAAGCCAGTTTTGAGGCCCTGGCTAGAGGCCAGTTCCCCTTCTTGAACAGCTAATTAAGTCCTTATCCCAACTACTTCCCTTATCAGGCTCTCACACTCTGGGCCCCTATGTACCTTCTCTAACCACCCCAGGAGCCAGATACCAGACAACTAGGAAAAGCCCCCAAGAGTACAAGAATTTATTCAAGTTAACCAATCCACAGGAAGCCCACAAAACCTACTTAACCCCACCCCACTTGTGATACATAAGCTGCCCTCTACAGCTCCAAGCTTGCTGTTACCCTATCCCCAAATGCAACCTGCTGTGTGGCCCTGCCTGGCAGCCTTCTCTCATTTGGAGCTGTAAGAAACAGAATTTTGCCTTTCATCTATCCCAGCATCAGTACATTGTGTCCCACTATCTAAAGAATTTTTAAATCTTATAAAAGACTATTCCATCTCTTTTTCGCCGCCATCCTGCTCTGCGTGGCTGGCTGCTTCTCGCCATGTCTTCTCACAAGACTTTCAGAATCAAGCGATTCCTGGCCAAGAAACAAAAGCAGAATCATCCCATTCCCCAGTGGATTCGGATGAAAACTGGTAATAAGATCAGGTACAACTCCAAGAGGAGGCACTGGAGAAGAACCAAGCTGGGTCTATAAGGCGTCACACATCATGAGATGACACACTTGATTGGCACACATATTTAATTAAGCTGCGTGAAGATCATGTGTTCTATCATTCTGTGAACATCCTTCCTACCTGGCCGTAGACTTGTCTTATCATGGAAATGATTTTTCTCTGTGACTATGCCTCTGCACCAGTAGGTTGGTTCGGTAATAAATGCGAGACCTTTCACCTCTAAAAAAAAAAAAAAAAAGACTATTCCAGCTTTACATAGAAATGATAAAGTTAGGTCTTTCTTTGACTTGCTTTTCTTTTTCAATCACCTATAACTTTGCACAGACCATTAAAAGTACTTTTTAAATCTCACAGCTATTATTTTATTTTGATCTTTTTCTTCACACTAACCCACTGAGGAAGGCAGAATAAGGATTATTGTTTCTACTTTATAATTGAGAAACTGAGACTTCAAATAGTGAAGTGACTTGTTCAAAAGCAAACACTTAATAATGGATTACATCCAGATATTGTAATTCTAAGTCACTGTTCCATCATGTTACTTCCAATTATCATCTACCCATCCACCTATCTATCCATCCTTCCATCCATCCATCCATCCATCCATCCAACATTTATTGAGTATATATTATAAACCAAGTAGACACTAGGCTCTGGGGGGTATAGAGATGAACCTGGCACAATCTCTGTACTCAAAAGATCTTAAGAAACAGAGATAGAAAAGAAAATTACAATATAATACATTTAGGTTCTATTAGAAAGTACTTGGTGTCACAGATGGGGTCTTCACCCCAAGTCAAAGGAAACTTCCATTACCATTGAACACTGAACATGTCACAGTTATGTAGAAGTCAGGTACATGGGCAGATGGAGCAACATTCAATTTATTTACCAAAACACTTCATAGTAACCATGCTAGGCACTCAGCTTCAAAGTTCCTTCCTTCAAAGGGTATATTAGTTACAAGGACAGACAAGTATGTAAAGAAACATGTTACAATAAAGTATGCTAAGTTCAATGATACAGGAATGTACATGTTACAGTTGGGTCACAAAAAAGGGATGACAAACTCTACCTGGGAGAAAAGAATCACAGTCTCCCAGCATAAATGACTGGGATGATAGCCTGAAGAATGAATAAAGGCCCACTGACAGGACTGTAGGAGAAAAAGCATACAGGAGGAAAAGGATATTCAAAAGTAAACATAAGTATGCTTATATAGACACAAAGAACTGCTAGCCAATGAGAGTACCACCCCACTCCACACTGACTAACTGCATATAGATCACACTCTAAAAATAGCCAAATGGTGTACAAGTACTTTTAGCTCTTGGCACAGGTCTTTGATATAACCTCATCAGAGATTCCCCTAGTAAAAGTCTGATTAGATCCACTATTTCTGGCCTACCTCTTTAAGGCCACATGGGATTCCCCAGCAAGGTTGGTACACTTGCCCCTCGGTAAGATATGATACCACTCAACTGTTCTGTTTAGTGACATGAACACAGGAGAAAAGTAAACAAGTCACATTATAATTCTGAAGACAACAGTATAAAAGATGACTTGAAAAGCAATGTACACATTTGCAGATCACAACCCAGGTCATTCAAATTTATAGAGAGGTAAAAAGAAGCCAAACCCTCAGCTCAGGTTCATTTTACAAATATTATCGCTCCAATCTTTTTCTCATCAGCGGCCCTGACCTTGACTCACTCTCTCATTGGTGCACACTGCCTGATAGGACTATGAATCATGCCAGGAATCAGATGGGTCCAAAGGGAATAGTGCCATTCCTTATAAAAATCATTTGGGAAGCGTATGTACAATGACCATAACACTAATGCTAACGGGTGTAGAACACTTTCACATTAAGACCAAGTTTCCTCAGGCATCAGAAAAATCCCTCCAGTTATGTAAATGATGTAGGACTTCAAAAAAAGGACAAGTTATAAAAGGACAAGGGGAGTTGGGAAGTGTATGATATGTGTAGACATATAATGAATAAGTATGATTGAAAGTGGACTTTGATGTTTTTGCCCTCTAACTACTTTAGCATCCTGATTTTCATACAGCACACACATATTCTTGTCACTCATTCTGGAGATTTTCAAAAGCATTTTTTTCTTTCAAATATAAAGAGACACTTTAATTTTTTTTAGGTTTTCGTTTAAAGCTTTACGTCAGCAGTTTTCCTCACCTGAAATTACCTCCACCACTCACACATCTGTCCAAAACCTAACCTATCCCCAACATCTTCCCATACTCAGCTATCCTTTCATAGAATTTCTAGAACATTTTTAACCAGCTCCACATAGTTGCATCTAAGATTATTTTGCTTCAAACCTTTCAGGACTCAGCTCCAGGTTCTGGTAAGCCTTCCCTGACCCTAGAGCTATTATTTAGTTACCCTTCTTGTCTTTTCCTAGGATCCAATCTATGCTGTTACCATACTGTAACTAGAGGTTTGCAAATCTGTATCCTGCAATTAGCTCAGAGATTTATTATGGTAAGGAACTTGTTTGATCCATATGGCATAGTATCTAGTACTTGGTAAGAAATAGGAAGTAACTTTGTGAAATTAAAAAGACAATGATAATAGACAAACCTCTGGCAAAGGTAATGAAAACAAAATAAAATTCAAAAACAAAAAATGGAAACAGGAAAGATTATATTGATAAAATAAGTGGTTTTGTGAGAATATCAAAGATACCAAAATTGGCACAAGAAGTAAAAAACTCTGAAAGACTAATAATCATGAAAGGGATAGGAAATACTCTCAAAGCCCCTTAAAAAGGCTCCAGGCCCAAACAGTTAGTGGTAGAGTTCTTTTATACCAACAATTCTCAACTGGTGAGTGTGTATACGGAGGAGTTGCCCCCCACCACACCCCGAGGACATTTGGCAAGGTCTGGAGACATTGTGGCTTGTCACAGTTGAGGGACAGGACACCTACCAATATTTAGTGGTGCTAAACATCCTACAGAGCACAGGGCAGATCCCCACAACAAAGAAGTATCCAGCGCAAAATGTCAATAGTACCAAAGTTGAGAAACCCTGCTCTATACTTTTTTTTAATTATTGTGGTTTTTTTATTTATTTTTTTTTATTTTATTTTTTTAAAGATTTTATTTATTTATTTGATTGAGAGAGAGAGAGAGCATGAGAAGGGAGAGGGTCAGAGGGAGAAGCAAACTGCCCGATGAGCAGGAAGCCTGATGCGGGGCTCGATCCTGGGACTCCGGGATCATGACCTGAGGTGAAGGCAGTCGCTTAACCAATTGAGCCACCCAGGCGCCCCTGCTCTACACTTTTAAAGAAAATGTAATAGCGTGCTATATAAAACCTTCCAACACATACAAAGGAAAGGTCCTCAAAGCAGCTTGTAATGCAAGCATTACTCTGATACCCAGACATGAGAAAGATGATACCAAAGATGTAAATATATATATATATATATAAAATATACAATAAACTGATACACGCATCATCTACAATGTCATATGTATATGTATCATATATATATATATATACACACAAAAAAAAGGTGAAACAATGACAAAACATATCTAGCAGTATATATAACATATTCGATAATGGGTTTTATTAATTGTGGTAAGAACACTTAATATGAGACCTATCCTCTTAAAGTTTTAAGTGCACAATATTGTTAACTATAA